GAGAGCACAAATGCCAGAAAAGCAGGGGGGAAGAGCAGTGGAAAGAATTTCATGTGTGAAGTAAATATTCTATTGCTGCCTGCCATCTCATTCCTTCAGGTCATTCTTTATCAACATTCCCTTGTCCTGCCTCTTCCATTCACACTTGCCAAATGTCTTAGGGCTGACAGGGAAGATTTACTGGAAATAAAACAACTGCAATAAAAGAAGGGAAGTTGGCCCAGCTTGGCAGTTCACTTGCATGTGTTGTTCAGATTTGGGCAAAGAGATGTAAATTGGTTTATGAAGCTTGAATGTCCAATAGTTCTGTCACTGTACAAATATTTTTCTTTATCTAAGAATATATGAAGTGTTAAAGGGAGAGAAAAGTGTTAAAAGCAGAGAAAACATTTTTAAAGTACTTGTTTGTATTAGGCATCAACTAGCATATGTTTTTTTCATATTTGCAAAGTGTATATTGGATGAAGAACTTGTATTTAGAATATAGAGAATCTATAAAGAATAGCTTAATAACAAACCATTAAAATATAGGTGTAATGTGTGAGTGGACACTTTACTCAATAAGTTAACATGCATGGCCGATAAACACACATAATGACCTCAATATCATTCATCATCAAGGGAATGCAAATAAGACTACCAAGAAATAGTACTACATACCTACTAGAATGATTGAGATTAAAAACTTTGACAGCAAACGTCGGCAAAAATGTAGAGAAACCAGAACTTTCATACCTGGTGACAATATAAAATGACACAATCCTTTTCATAAACTGTTTGCCTTATGTATTTAGATTTTAAAAATTGATGTATTATAGCTGTATATGTTTTTGGAGTACATGTGACAATTTGATACATGCATGAAAAATGTAATAATCAAATTGGGGTAATTGCTATGTCCACCACCCTAAACATTTCTCTTTCCGTTGTGTTGGGAACATTAATATGCTTCTCTTCTAGCTATTTGAAATATACAATAAGTTATTGTTAACAAGGATACCTTACACGTGTTTCTTCATTTCACCCTCAAAGAAGTTAAATACTACAACTTTACATCACTATGTAATTTTATAACAGTTAACAAAGTGCTGCTGAAACATATTATTTCTCACAACAATAATGTTTTTGTGGGAGGCAGTATTCATATTATTTTAGTGAAGAAGAAACTGATTCAATTTATTAACAAGGTTCATTGTTGATGATTTTGGACACTGATGCTAACATAGTATTTGCTTCTGAATTTTACAATGAAGCCGTCCTTACAGGAGCGAAGACGAGTAAATGAAATGGTACAGGTGAAGGATTTATCTGTACTGTGGCTGCACATAGTATGCAGTCAAGAAAAGTTTATCCTGATTGTTCAGCAAGGGTTAATGGTGTGCTCAATACCATAAAGCCAGAATGAGGTAGGATTTAGACTCAAAGCAATTCTTCCAACTCCAAGCTCTTTCTAATACGCTCTGTCTCCTGAACAAAAAGACCAACATGTAGAAACATTCCATTGTTCTAATGTTCCGAAGTGTGCGCAGAGATGTACCCATGCATACATCACCACCTACCACTGCTTTTCTGGGCCTTCATACTTTCATTCCTGTTCTTTTCATGCACTTGTTTATATACCTTTTACAGTAGGCCGAATAATAGAACCTCAAGTTATCTACATCTTAATCCCTGTTACTTTACATGGCAAAAAGGACTTAATGGTATAATTAAGGATTTTGAGATTGGAGTTTTATCCTGGATTATTCAGAGGGACCTAATATAATCCCAAGTGTCTTCACAAGAGGGAGTCAGGAGTGTCAGTCCAGAGAGGCGAGATGACAACAGAAATGGAGGTTGGATTGATGGGACCATGAACCAAGAAATGCAGGCGTCCTCTAGAAGCTGATAAAAGGCAAAGAAGAATATTCTTTCCTAGAGTTTCCAGAAAGAACACAGCCCTCCCAACACTGAATTTCAGCCCAATAAAATGGATTTCAGACTTTGGACCTCCAGAACTGTAATAAGCCACTAAGTTTTTGGTAATTTGTTACAGCAGAAAAGAAAAACTAATACATCTCCTTTCTTTCCTTTTTCCTCATTTACCATGCTCCTCCTTACTAATCTACTCAAATATCTTGGTGTTGAGATATTTGTAATAGCAAATTTAATCGTTAATCTCTATGTGGCAGTGGCATAGATGCCAGAAGCCTGGGTGCCCATAGAGTCTCAGACCTTCTGGAATTATCTTTTCTTTTAATATTTAAAATAAACTGCCTAGAGAATACAATCTTGGTAATTTGGGAAATAAAACATTCTCTTTAATACTCTTGTGAATTATAGAGGAATTTTATTTATTTATTACCTTTGATTTAAATTCCCATTTTTTGGTAAATTATCAATTTTCTCTAAAATTTCACTTTCTGTGGCTATAGTTCTTTTCTCTCTGCACCATGTCAAACTAAGTGTGGGGCATAGACCTCTATTTATTCCCACTCACTACCAATTTAGTTTATGCATAAAGTAAATTTGTAATAAAATGAGTTACTGTACATAGCAGAACTTTCTCCCAAAGTTGGAATAAACAGAGTGGGTTAATTTTACAAGCCAGTGATACAGTAAATATTTAATATTAGCTTGCTGATTTGAAATATATTTGCTTGTTTCCAGCCTTGGGAATTTCTTATGTGTCTCTGCTTCCACACTTCATGTTAATGAACCCAGTGTCTCTCCCTAAATTTCCTCCTTTTGCCTACTCTCCCACTGTCCATTAAAAAATTGTTTGTTTCTCATCTAAAATTTGTTGAAGCTCTACAAGCCTCCAGAGAAAGCAGTTGGGTATGAAATTCACTGAAGACAGAGTATCAGTCTGGAGAAATATCTAAAAAGAGAATTAGGGAACGGTTTTTATAGGGCTTTGAGGGTTGGGGTTTTAGTCATCGGGTGGCATCAGGCAAAAGTTAGGGAGAGAAGAAAGATCTTGTAAACTAAGAGATTTGCTGGAATAGCTAGTGGTCTTAGTTTTGGAACAAATTCTTCTTTATAGAGTTACTTTTAAATCAGTTAGTCTTTGTTCTTATATTGGAATGCAAAGGTCTGAACTAGCTGGTATTAAAGCATTTTAAGATTTTTTTTCTACTCCAAAGTATTTCAAGTTTTCAAAACATTTAGAAAATATACTCGTTTTTGTACATCTGAAAACTCTTTTAGGGGTTTTCCAAAACAGAGTATCCTTTGTTTCTCCACATTATTTCAGCATAAACTATTCCCAGAGGTATTACAATTAAAAAACCTTTCCTTAAAAATAATTCAGTTCTTAGAAATGGTTGCCTTCTCCATACTCTCTGGGACAAATATAGCATGCCATTCTGGTAGAAGGCAGAATTAGAAGAGTAAGATTCTTAAAAGCATATGCTTTTCTTCCTGTGATAAAGTAGGTTTTATTCTCTTTATTGTTCTCAATTTTCAGGTGAGTGAAATGATGCTGATGGATGGTAAGTACCTTGTCTAAGGTGTGGCATGGGGGTGTGATATGTCTATGCTGTGCTGCAGCTACAATTCAATTCACTGAGAACTTCCTATGAGAAGGCACACAACTTAGGAGACACTATGCAGGCTCAATGTCCCAATGAGCCATGGCTCTAAGATTTGGAACATTTTACACATGTTAAGATTTATATCTATATTTTCACTGTCTTTCTCCCTAACAGCTTTCATTTCTATTCTTAGAAAAAAATTATTTTCTCTTCCTACCATGTACTATCTGACATTATGTTTGTGTACATTCTGACATTATGTTTGTGTATATATGTGTGTGAGAGAGGAGAGAGACAGAGACAGAGAAACTTTTGTATCTGAGAGAGATATAATCTCTTTGGTCCATATCTTTCTTATATGGTTAGGCTTTGTGTCCCCACCCAAATCTCATTTTGAATTGGAATCCCCACATGTCAAGGGAGGAATCTGGTGGAAGGTGATTGAATCATGGGGGCAGTTTCCCCATAGTTTTCTAGTGACAGTGAGGGAGTTCTCATGAGATCTGATGGCTTCAAAAGTGGCAGTTTTCCCTATGGGCACGCTGTCTTTTCTGCCACCACGTAAGACATGTCTTGCTTCACCTTCTGCCATGATTGTAAGTTTCTTGAGGCCTCCTCAGTCATACAGAACTTTGAGTCAATTAGACTTGTCTTTAAAGATACTACCAGTCTCAGGTGGTGTCTTTATAGCAGTGTGAAAATGGACTGCTATACAGAAAATTGGTATTGTAGAGAGTAGGGCACTACTGTAAAGATACCTCAAAATGTGACAGCAACTTTGGAATTGGATAACAGGCAGAGGTTGGAACAGGTTGGAAGGCTCAGAAGAAGATAGAAAGTTGTGGGAAAGTTGGAACTTCCTAAAGACTTGATAAATGGTTTTGACCAAATTGCTGATAGGGACATGGACAACGAAATTCAGGCTGAAGTAGTTTCAGATGGAGATCAGGAACTTCTTGGGAAATGGAGAAAAGGTCACTCTTACTATGCTTTAGAAAAGAGACTGGCAGCATTGTGTCCCTGCCATAGAGATAATAGAGATATGTGGAGCTTTGAAACTGAGAGAGATTATTTAGGGCATCTGAAAGAAGAAATTTCTAAGCAGCAAAGCATCCAAGAGGTGACCTGGCTTTTCCTGAAAATGTACAGTTATATGCATTCAGAAAGAGATGATGATTTGAAATTGGAACTTATTTTCAAAAGGGAAACAGAGCATAAAAGTTTGGAAAACTTGTAGCCAGATTCTGTGGTAGAAAAGAAAAACCCATTTTCTGGGAGAAATTCAAACCTGCTGCAGAAATTTGCATAAGTAATGAGGAGTCAAATATTAATAGCCAAGGTAAAGGGAAAAGCGTCTCCAGGACATTTGATATGGTTAGGCTGTGTCCCCACCCAAATTTCATCTTGAGTTTCCATGTGGGAGGGACCCAGTGGGAGGTAATTGAATCATGGGGAAAGGTCTTTCCCCATGTGGAAAGACCCGCCATGTGGAACTGTAAGTCTATTAAACCTCTTTCTTGGTTTGCGCCCGTCCTGTCGGCCATGTCCCGCGGGGTGGCGGGTGCACTGAGGCCCCTGGTGCAGGCCGAGGTGCCCGCCACCCCGGCGCCACCTGTGCTGGACCCAAAGTGGCCCATCTTGAACCAGGAGTGGCTGAGCGGCCAGACCGCGCGCCAGCCTTTGGTCGTCTCTGTGAGCCTCAATGTCCCTGCTTCTGTTCATTATTCCCATACAGACATCAAGGTGCCTGACTTCTCTGACTACCGCCACTCTGAAGTTTTAGATAAAATAAAGTCTTCAAGAGAAAGCAGCGATGCTAGAAAGGTTTCTCCTATTTGGTAATGGCAGCAACTGCTGTGGGTGTCACGTATGCTGCCAAGAGTATCGTCACCTAGTTCGTTTCCTCCATGAGTGCTTCTGCTGATGTGTTGGCCATGTCAAAAATCAAAATCAAGTTGTCTGATATTCAAGAAGGCAAGAACATGGCTTTCAAATGGAGGGGGAAACCCCTGTTTGTGTGTCATAGAACCCAGAAGGAAACTGAGCAGGAAGCTGCATTAGAATTGTCCCAGTTGAGGGACCCACAGCATGTTCTAGATCGAGTAAAGAAACCCGAATGGATGATCCTCATTGGTGTTTGCATGCATCTTGGTTGTGTACCCATTGCAAATTCAGGAGATTTTGGTGGTTATTACTGCCCTTGCCATGGGTCACACTATGATGTGTCTGGCAGGATCAGGAAGGGGCCTGCACCTCTCAACCTAGAAGTCCCTACCTATGAGTTCACCAGTGACGATATGGTCATTGTTGGCTAGAGACTTGGACTCAAGTCATAGACTTCTTTCAGTCTTTATGTCACTTCAGAAGACTTATTTGAGAGCAAGCCTTTTGCACTTGAAGTTGATTTGAAATATGTAAGAATTGATGATGTATTTGCAAACAATATGAAGCAAATTGAATTTAATGTCGAATAGTTTTAAGCAGTCACTATTAGCCACTGTTAAGCATTGTTATGCTTAGTCATACACTTGAAAGGTACAATGTCTTTTAGCTAATTCTAAAAATTACAGACTGGTGCACAAGATACTTGTGAAATCTATAACTGACTTTATTTTCTTGCCCAAATATTTGTTTCCTGCATTGCATCAGGGACACACATTCTACAAAGCTCATTGTTGGGATGAAGTAAAATTAATGGGTCATCTCCTAGTCCTGGGAGGGGTCTATGTCATTGGCAGAAACAATAGTATCTAGGTATTCCTTATTCACTGGACTTGGTAAGAGTCCTGGCTATGTGTTCCACCCCTGCCCCCCACCACTACTACTGTGTAAGCTGTATCATAATGTTACTCTAATCTGTGGGAAAGAGTCCTGAATGAAGCGTTAGTAGCTCTGAGGGTTTATCTTCAGGTCTGGTCTGGTTTTTCTCCTTTAGTGACAGGCCAATAAATTGTATTATTCCCTTAAGACTATAAATTAGTACTTAAAATTCTTTAGTCTTCATAGGCAGTGGGAGCACATTATCTGAGAGAAGCTTTCCAAAATGAGAGTGCTCTGCCATTTCCTTCGTTTTGCATGTGGATCCTCCATGTCCTCAAAGCTCCTGCAGCCACTCTATCAAGAGGGAGAAAGGGAGCAAGTGAGACCTAGTACTGCCTGTGTGCAGAAATGGTCCTGCTGTTTTTGTTTCTGTAGTGATGACATTTTGAATGTTTCTTCCTGTTGGGTTTGCAGTCACTTTTCACTGTCAAATGGTGTGGAATCAGACGCAGAGCATGTAGGAATTCACATCCTATTTTCTGCCTCCAATTATGTAGGTGAAACAAGACTAGGGTCCATTTTCCCCAGGGAGCTGAGAGTAGGCTTTGCCTTTTGAGAATCACAGACACTTTTTGATGTGTCTGTCTTTGCCTTTTGGAGATGGGCCAGTCACGTGCTTTACTGAGTCCACCTGATGATCTCATGCACACTTTTTTAAAAGGGCAAAAGTGCTCAGATTAGTTAGGTCTACCCAAAGGGAACCAACCATCCAGCCTTTGATGTTAACAGGTGTTGACAGAAATGCCGACAGAAAAAAGAAAATGTCAAACTTTCTATGCTTATGAGTAGATAACTAGTCTTTGGTTCATTTCTACCGTTCTAGAAATGAAAGTAGCATGTGTGATAATTGGTGGGACACACACTGTTTTATATTTTGTGCCTCTAGATAGTGGAGGTACTCTTCAGATTGAGGGTTGGAGGAGGGATGATGGAATGTGAAACATTGAGTTGTGAGAGGAACACAGGTCCAAACACTAAACTTGTGTTGCCAAAAATGTCAACAGCATCCCTTCCCTATAAAGAAATACTGATACCCCATATCACCTCCTACCCTGAAGTGATACCTTGAAATGCTTCATATTTGAAGTGCCAAACGTTCTGTGTTTGTGTCTACGTGGCAATGGAGGACGGAAGTAGTGAGTCTGAAGGACCCCAGCTACTCAGCTAGTGCCAGAATTGCTGTATGTGGTGGCTGCTTACTTCATCTTTCATATATATAATTTTGATTCTAAATTCATATTTATGGTGGGATGCTTTTAAATCCTAGTAGCCCATTTAGTTTCTAAAGAAAGCTTTGTTGCACAAGTGAAAGGATAAGTCAAGTCACTTCATGCTACTTTGCTGAATGGGCACAGCAGACGTGTGTTAACATTTTTACCATTCTGTGAAAAAAGAAATTCTAGATATTAGGGGGAAATGACTTACTGAATAAACCTGATCAGTTAGCAGCCTGACATCAGATTATTATTAACATGAACTGCTTTTTACTGGAAATAATTCTTGGGACAATCATGAGGGCCATGCCTTTTAATTATGCTTTGAAAAGTGTTATAAAAAATGACCTTTTTGAAAATGTTGCATTATTTGTTAAATATAACATCAAGTTTTCTTTGGTCTTTCTGAGCATACCCTTGTAAAATCTTTGGCTCAGTCTGAGTGTATAGAGGGCATTTGTCCTGTTGGGACATTTATGGCTTGGGATCAAAATGTGCTGTTAGTGCCCTCATTTTTCTAAACTGTGGGAACATACCATTTAACTATCAGAAGTAATTCTTCATTCTCACAGTGCTAAATTTCGTTTTCTGTATTTTCATGTCATTTGAATTTCATTGCATTTTATATATTAACCCAAAATAAATGTTTATATTTTATGGACTGCCAAAAAACAAAAACAAAAACAAAAACAAAAAAACTATTTCTTCTGTAAATTCCCAAGTCTTGTGTATGTCTTTATCAGCAGCATGAAAAAGGACTAATACAGCATGTTGGACATCTTCACTGCAGCCCCTTCCATCTCAGGTCTGGAGGCCTAGTAGGGAAAAATGGTTTCATGAGCCAGTCCCAGGGTCTTGCTGCTCTGTGCAGCCTCAGGACTTGACGCCCTGTGTCTGAGATCCTCCAGCTCTAGCCGTGGCTGAAAGGGGCCAAGGTATAGCTTGAGGCATGGCTTCAGAGATTGCAAGTCCCAAGCCCCAAGCCTTGGCTTTTACATGGTGTTGGGACTGTGGGTGCTCAGAAGACAAGAACTGAGCTTTTGGAACCTCTGCCTAGATTTCATAGGATGTATGGAAATGCCTGGATCTCCAGGCAGAAGTCTACTGCAGGAATAGAGCCCTCATTGAGAGGGCTCCATTCCTCTACTAGGCAATGTAGAGGGGAAATGTGGGGTTGGAGCACCCCCAAGTCCCCACTAGAGTACTGCCTAGTAGAACTGTGGTAAAGAGGGACACCCTCCTCCAGACCCCAAAATAGTAGATCCATCTGCAGCTTGTACCATGCACCTGGAAAAACCACAGGCATTCAATGTCCGCCCATGAAAGCAGCCTCTGGGGACTTTATCCTGAAGAGCCACAAGGGCAAAGCTGCCCAAAGCCTTGGGAGTCAAGCTCTTATATTAGCATGCCTGGGATGTGAGACATGGAATCCAAGGGGATTGTTTTTGAGCTTTAAAATTTAATGGCTGCCCTGCTGGGTGTTAGACTTGCATGGGGCTTGTGGCCCCTTTGTTTTCACCAATTTCTCCCATTTGGAACAGGAACATTTACCCAATACCTGTATCCCCATTGCATCTTGGAAGTAACTAACTTGTTTTTCATTTTATACACTCATAGGTAGAAGGGAGTTTGCCTTGTCTCAGATGAGACTTCGGACTGGACTTTTGGGTTCATGCGGGAATGAATTAAGACTTTGAGGGACTGGTAGGAAGGCATGATAGGTTTTGAATTGTGAAAAGGACATGAGATTTGAAAGGGTTTGGGGCAGAATGATATGGTTTGGCTCTGTGTCCCTACTCAAATCCCATCTCAAATTATAATCCTTACATGTTAAGGGAGGTACCTGGTGGGAGGTGATTGCATCTGGGTGCGGTTCCTCTCATGCTGTTCTTGTGAGAGTGAGGGAGTTCTCACAAGATATGGTAGCTTTAAAAGTGGCAGTTTCCCCTGTGCTCTTTCTCTTTCCTGTTGTCATGTAAGACGTGCCTTGTTTTCCCATAGCCTTCTGCCATATTTTTCAAGTTTCTCAAGGCCTCCCCAGCCATGCAGAGCTGTGTCAATTAAACCTATTTCCTTTATAAATTATTCAGTCTAAGGTATTCTTTATAGCAGTATGAAAATGGACTAATACACTTCCTAATGTAGGATGTTTTAAATATTGATTGCCACTCATAGAATCATTTCAGCCAACTTGGATTGAAGGTAGAAGTGAAGGGTCCATAGCACAGGAATCCTGTCCTGCTAAAGTTACATGGTCACATTTACCAATGAGAAACACTCTAAGAAGTGAATATTTAGTAATCATTTTACAAACAAAGACACTGTTCCAAGAGAACAATTAATTTATCAGAGGTAGTCCAGCTAGAAATCAAATTTGTAATGGTATCCAGTTAGGCTACATAAACTCTCTGAAGTTGATACACTGAGGTTGCCTTTTGAGTCAATTCAGATCAGTCTGAATTTGAAACTAGGCTATGTCCATTATGCCCTGCCTTCTCTTTGTATTTTAAGAGTTACTATATGCTTTATTTAATTCTTACCACTGTGATTATTGGAATCCCAGAATTTTAGAATTCCTTTTCTCTATAATGTTTAGAAATGACACACAAACCTAGCAATTATGTGAAAACAAAAGCACCAGAAACCCCATATAGTGGAAGTAAACATTTAGAAAAATTCATATATGTCTTCTAATTTTGTTTTAAGTCAAACTCTTTTCCTGCATGCTTAGTTTCCTGGATTGGAATACCTAGTATTATCTGTTGTCATTCCTTCAATTTCTCTGGAAAGTCACATATGCTCAAAAATTGAGAGAAGGTAATAAGAGTCCTAGAGGTTCCAAATCTGTAGACCACAGATAAAGGAGAAAGTGCTCTCATTTCACTGATAGCATGAATCAGTTCCTGGTTTATAGCAGATACTCAGAGGCTTGCTGAAACTTAAAATGAATCATTATTTAAATCAATATATAAAATCCATCTTTATTTTAAAAGAATCTGTTAATACTTTTAAAAGTGAATGGAAGGTTGCTGTGTTTACTTATGCTGCAAGGTGGCTTTGCCTGTTTGAAAACTCAGGAAGATAATATTGTTTCTGAAGTTAAAATTCAGTCACACATGGGATGGAATTTACCATGTAAATTATGTAGGTCATGTAAACATTGTTTCTGGCTTTCAGAAAATATTGAGCAGTTTACCATTTCCAATTGGAAATAAAGCCAAGCAAATGGAAACTAGGAAAGGGGATTATAAAAAACGCACTGTTCCCTTCAGTTTGCTTCTCTTTCTGCTTACTCATTAGTCATTATATTTACAAAACAATTAAAGCAAGAAAAATTATCATCAGGAAACTTCCTAGACACTCTTATAACTGTTCACTGAATCCAGGAGATGTTGATTATCATCATCATTACCTAAAAGGCAAGACAACCTGAAGTTTA